ACAAAAGTACTAACCCGTAAAGGAAAGGAAGGGCGGGGAAAACCATTTCGACCATTGAGTCTGAGGCGCTCCATCTCGACCGACAATCCCGCGGGATACCGATTTCCGGTAAGAGCGTGTAATGAGGTTGACGAGGCCGTCCTCTGCCTCTCTTCTCGCCTCGTCGTCCAAACTTTTGCACGCGTCAAAACTTGGGGGAATTACGAGTTCTATTAAACGCACTGCAAAATTATTCGAGTCGTTGAGTTGCGCTCTTCGAATAAATAAAGATATATTTTTGCATATAAAATTCCTTGAATAATTAAATAAGAAAATTCGCTCAATTCGTTCAATTTATTATTGATGAGAATTAAGCAACAGTAATTTTGCCATCTCTGTCATTTCCATCTATTCTTTTTCGATAGTTAAAAGCGTATTATTAATTCCAATGTGTATTATTAATGATTTAAAATGTGTAAATTATGAGTCTCTCTCTCATCAGAGAGAATTATAATAAACGTTTTGTAATCGACAGAACGAAGACTGTAAATATGTTTAAATGTAACATCCATTTATTTCAGATCGATTTAGTCGCCAAAGTTAATCGGTGAGTAATTGGTCGCTGTTTTAATTCAATCGTCAATGCAGAGTCAGCATTTTATACGATTAATGAACTGAAAATTGGATATTATTTATCTATCTTGATGATCGAGTAGAATTGGATAAAAATCGATTCGATTCAAAACACATCGCTCGTTCGAGTAATTATAGAAATGTCATTTATCGTATAAATCCGCGCATATATCGCGTAAAAAGCGATACTATATTAAACATTTCGATATAAGATTATATATATATTGCAAAATATTCAAGAGAGCGATCACTCGCTCGATCAATATTGAAGACGCGACCGTTTATCGTTCACGTGCGCGTTAAAGAGAACGCGCGAAGAAACTTACCACGGATCGTAAAAGTTTAAGGAATTCTCGAGACGTAAGTTTATGTTACGTAGTTTCAGAGGTAAGGATAACTCGAGCCGGTGTTGCTTAATTTTATGCTCGTGTATATGAACTGCCGAAAGAACAACCATACCCTTCGAAAACTCGCTAATTTGCGAGTTGTAGCGAGTTGTAAAAAATCGACGAGACTTCATATACAACTATCGGCGTAAGAAAGTTCAGTTTTCATAGGCGGTAGAAATGTAAAAAAAAGAACAGAAAAAAAATGAGTGTTAAATCAAAACTTATATACTTAAACTAACGCGTTCATTGTTTCGTACATACGCAACAATTTATAATCTTCTTAAAAGAATTTAATAATTTTAAATTTCAACGATATTATAGTCTTATTTTAATATTGTAATTATCACCTCAAGAACATATAATTATTTAATTCTACTTTAAAGAAATTATAATCTTTGATTTAAAAATGTTATTTTTTATCCGACACCGTTTTTTTTCATTTAAGAAAATTAAATCTTAAATCATAAGAATATAATTTTTCTCGATTGAACTATATAAAATGGCTTCATTCAAGTAAGCAATTATTCAAGCAATTATATTTTTCTTTAATTAACGCAATATAATCTCACTTCAAGATTTCCATGTTAAAACTAAATATATTTTCAAAACAAGAATGTCCTTTTTTTGTACACAGAAAAAAAATAAATGTCAAATCAAAACTTATATACTTAAACTAACGCGTTCATTGTTTCGTACATACGCAACAATTTATAATCTTCTTAAAAGAATATAATAATTTTAAATTTCAACGATATTATAGTCTTATTTTAATATTGTAATTGTCACCTCAAGAACATATAATTATTTAATTCTACTTTAAGGAAATTATAATCTTTGATTTAAAAATGTTATTTTTTATCCGACACCGTTTTTCTTCATTTAAGAAAATTAAATCTTAAATCATAAGAATATAATTTTTCTCGATTGAACTATATAAAATGGCTTCATTCAAGTAAGCAATTATTCAAGCAATTATATTTTTCTTTAATTAACGCAATATAATATAATCTCACTTCAAGATTTCCATGTTAAAACTAAATATATTTTTAAAACAAGAATGTCCTTCTTTGTGCACAGAAAAAAAATAAATGTCAAATCAAAACTTATATACTTAAACTAACGCGTTCATTGTTTCGTACATACGCAACAATTTATAATCTTCTTAAAAGAATATAATAATTTTAAACTTCAACGATATTATAGTCTTATTTTAATATTGTAATTGTCACCTCAAGAACATATAATTATTTAATTCTACTTTAAAGAAATTATAATCTTTGATTTAAAAATGTTATTTTTTATCCGACACCGTTTTTCTTCATTTAAGAAAATTAAATCTTAAATCATAAGAATATAATTTTTCTCGATTGAACTATATAAAATGGCTTCATTCAAGTAAGCAATTATTCAAGCAATTATATTTTTCTTTAATTAACGCAATATAATATAATCTCACTTCAAGATTTCCATGTTAAAACTAAATATATTTTTAAAACAAGAATGTCCTTTTTTTGTGCACAGAAAAAAAATAAATGTCAAATCAAAACTTATATACTTAAACTAACGCGTTCATTGTTTCGTACATACGCAACAATTTATAATCTTCTTAAAAGAATATAATAATTTTAAACTTCAACGATATTATAGTCTTATTTTAATATTGTAATTGTCACCTCAAGAACATATAATTATTTAATTCTACTTTAAAGAAATTATAATCTTTGATTTAAAAATGTTATTTTTTATCCGACACCGTTTTTCTTCATTTAAGAAAATTAAATCTTAAATCATAAGAATATAATTTTTCTCGATTGAACTATATAAAATGGCTTCATTCAAGTAAGCAATTATTCAAACAATTATATTTTTCTTTAATTAACGCAATATAATCTCACTTCAAGATTTCCATGTTAAAACTAAATATATTTTTAAAACAAGAATCCTTTTTTTCTATGTATGTGCAGCTGCCACTAAGGGAGCATAGACGTATGCATGTGTCTGTACATCCGGCGCATTATTACATGGTCCGACTCGATTAATAATGGATTTTGGAAACGAAAGTTCGCGTATTATCTAGTGTTAGGCATGCTTTAGATAACGGAACGGAAGGAAGGTAGCCGCGGCGCTTATCAAACTCGGCGACAGCGCTAACTTTCCTCCCCCGGTTCGATTAATCGCACGCTTTGAGAACACGATGGGAATAAACAACTCAGCGACCGATATTCTATTCTTATTCCCGGGGATTCGATGCGCGCGACAGTCCGGAAAGATTAAATTCCCTCCCGAGCATAGCTTATACTTAATCGAAAGAAACTTCAAAGAAATCTCTTGTCCCGTTCCGTCTTTCTTTTCTCAGCGCGAGACAATTACACTTTGCATACAATTACTTCGAATTGCCCTTTTGCGAGAAGGAACTTGAGCGTGCAATATAATATAATACTTTAATAGCGTATTGTGGAGATAAAATAAAGCGAGAAAAATCTAAAAATATCTTAAAAAGCCCTTAATGTGGATATCACTAATACATGACGGATCGTAAATGTAAATATAATTGCAAGTCTAAGTGCGCGAATTTGACGCATTTTAGGCTTTTTGAGTAAAAGTTCCTAAAATTAGATAGATTCGCGAGAAAAACATACTTTAGCAAAACTCTTGAATTTTACATTAACTATGGAGGCGAGTGCGGCTTGTACGAAAATATAGCATGCAAAAGAAATTGAATTAATAATAAAGCATTTATCCTTGCCGAGATGATCGTGGAAGAGCACGACGCTCGAATTTCTTAACGTCGAAACATAGAAGTGAATATCCAACAACGTGTTGTTGGGGATGCTCTACAATTCTCGCTCCCTTAAGAAGGCTTACGTGCCTCTCTCAGACGGAAGCGAGCGTAAAGTTCTGGCTCCGTGGATTATTTATTTAAAAATCCTTCTCGGCTCTTACCGAGACTTTCTTCGCCCTCTTCCTCTCTTTCTTCCCTTTCCCTTTTCTATCTATCTCTCTCTTTCTCTCCTTCCCTTTATTCCTTTCAACTCGCGTGTTCCAAATGTTGGACTCTACCAACCTCGCGTTAAAGCGACACTCGTGACGAGCGTCGTTGAGTGGAACAGACGTAGGATAAACACGACGTTCGTCGGAGTCTTGCAACGAGTACACTACTAGCGTTTAGATGTCGCGCCCAATTTTCCATTGAAAATTCGCAGGTTTAAATAACATGTAAAATATTGTGATACTGTTAGATTATTTTCGTCCGCGAGGAAGATTTATTTTTTCATATTATATATATAAACAATACAATATTTGATATATAACAATGAAATATGTTCAGGTTTAATTTTTCTATAGAGAGATATTGCTTCAAAATGTTTTTCTCAATTTTTCAATATTTCCTATGGAAGAATCCGAGAGATATTGCTGCGCAGTATACACTCCAATAACTCAAATTAAAAACTATACAACGACACGCAATATTGCGTAGAGAACGCGCGCACACACACACATACGCACACATACATTTACAAAATTCTTACGCACTTGTCGCGGAAAGATCGACCGCTGTAATATTTATCTTGGAGAATATCATCGAGGCATAAGATCGCTGGCGAAGTAATTTGCATCGAACATCGGGACGCAAACCCTTCCTTCCTCCTCGCGTCATCGGGAAAAGAGAGCCATTCCAGTATCGTTTACAATCTTCGATCCGATCGTGGATCGTGTAAAACGCGTCAGGAGAAAATTCCTGCTAAAAAGGAGCGAGGAAACGTCGTATTTTTTTTTCTAACCCTCGTACTTTACCCTCCGCGAGCGAAAAGGGAATCCTTCGACGGCTTATCTCCGTCCGCGTCCTCATCGTCTCAATACCCATCGGGACCAGTCCAATAAAAAAGTGTATCCGCCGCTGGTTAGCCGATTTCTCACTCGTCCCCTTCCTTTTGCAGCATCAACGTTCGACCCGAGAGATATCCGCGTCTCAAGGCGATCGCTCGATCTCTGTTCCAGATAATCAGCTATGACTCAAACAGAGGCGGAGTCTCCGTGGTCACAGAGAAGGGTGACAGCACGACGAGTTTCCTCCTGGTGCAAGAGGCGAAGCCGTCGGACTCGGGACGGTACACTTGTAACCCCAGTAATGCTCAACCGAAATCGATCACCGTACACGTACTCAACGGTGAGTGATCGAAGATGCGAGGACGATTTTTTGCGAGGGAAACGATCAGGAGAGACATTAAGAACGTATATCTTAAAAACGTGTCAAAAATGTCTGGGCAAGAAATTTCGAATAAACTTTTGCGGGATCCCAAATGCACAAATCTACCGTTACTTTTTCCCTTAGAAATTGTAATTAATTTATTGCTCCGTCAATTTTTCTTTCGCTGATCTATAATCTAAAAATTTTTAATTTTTATTGTAATATTTATAAATAACTATAATCGTTGTAATTTAAGGATGTTTTGTATGTACAATCCTACCAAAGTAGCTGAAAATCAATATTGACGAATGTTCACTTTTGGTGTATTTTGTATTGAGTAAGAAATTGTGTGAAATACAATTGTGAAAATTGTGTGAATTGCAATTTGATTTTAGCTACAGTGCAAAGATGTATTTTTTAATATATATTGCGTTTTTACTAAAATATTCCGAATTTTGTTAATCGAAATGATTGACTTTTGGCAGAGAATTTCGCCTTGTGACAGATACATGGCTAACTTCATTAAATTATATTTAATAATACTATTTGACCAAATATTTTCTCTGTATCTAAACTTTCGCAAATTTTAAACAAATTCTGAATATTATTTTCATGTGTTTTTGTCATTTGAATCAATGTGATACGTTTCCCATAAGAACACATGTTAATATTCGGTGTAAATTAAAATCCTTATAACTTGTGAACGCTTTAGTCGCTTAGAATCGATTTAAAAATTGTACTGAAGATTCTAAACATACGTAAGGACATTCTGTACAATTTTCATTAAATTCTCAATATTTCGAAAATAGGTACGAAACATCCTTAAACTATAATCGTTCATCCAGAGTTGGCAAATTCTCTTTTTCGGAAGAGCTCGCGCAAAACCGCGTTAATTATGCGGACGGGAAAATAATTAGCCAAATTGCAGTCGACGCGTTTCATTCCATTATCAGTCGGAAGGTACAGTGGTGGGGAAAGGAGGGAACGGGGAAGAAGGGATATCGTGCGGATGGGAAAACGCCAGGCGTCGCGGGTCTTCAGAAAATTTAAGTGTTGCCCTCTGTTTCAGGAGAGTATCCCGCGGCAATGCAGCACGGCGGTCAGGCCAAACAACCGAGGCTGTACTCTCTTCTGCTCTGCCTGTGTCTGCTACTTTACTAATTGCTCCATTCCATCGCGCATTTTCGAAGGAAGAAGTCGGAGAGCACTTTAGAGCGAATGAGAATGAGTGCGTTTGCGTACGTGTGTGTAGGTAGAAAGGTGTATGTGTGTCTGTGTAAGAGAAGAAGAAAGAGAGAGAGAGAGAGGGAGGGAGGTATTTTCGTCACACGGGTCGCGCGAAAATTGCCCAAGTGTCATGGATGCTGGCGAGATGGGACGGTGCGACGAGGCGCATCCGACGAGGATGCTTTTGACTGTGCACCGGAACGATGACTCTTTCGCAACGGCGCGCCATTTCTCGATGCGACGACGACAACGCGCCCGGAAGGAAGGGTGCAGCCAAGCAGTGCGATGACGCTTTTAACGGTGGCTTCGCACAGGCCACGAGGCCATCCGAGATCGCGAATAAACGTGCTACGATAATAATACGTGTAAGAGAGCGCGCGCACAAATGCATCACGATTATGAAAACGTATCACAGGCGTAGTCGGGTTGGGCTACTTATTCGCGCGAGCGAGCTCGTATAGTTTGACATAGTTATACAAGAGAAAAGGCGAGTACGTTTATTCGAGGGATAAGTCGTAGCTCGACGTCGATGAAATTGCACAAAGGGCAGTTAAGATTCGCAAACGAGAGAATACGATGTTCCCGGGGTGTCGCGCAGAAGTCACGGACGTTTTCAGTTTTCATTTAAATATTCTGAATAATCGCGCCTTAAATGAGAATCTTCTCCAAGTCTTCGGAACATGACTTCCCCGATTCATTTGCATTTCATCGAACATCTTGGAATTCCGAATCGTTCGCTCGATTCAGAAAGAACTCTCGAAACAATCGGCTCTCCTCTCTCCAAGTGCGATGGCAAATACCTCCGGCTCGAGGAAAAAGTGAGTCTTCCGGGGGCGAGGACGCATGGCAGAGGTGACAGAAGATCGACCGCGGGTTCGGATGCGAGTGCCTGGCTTCCTTCGCGATTAATTCGAACAGGCTCGAAGATTGCGAGTCCACCGATTCACTTTCCGGCGACGGGCGCATCGAGAGGAGAAGAACAGATGCGTTGCAGCCGCGGTTTTGACGCGGTACACGCTTCGGAATCCGCGCAACTGGGCGACCATCAACGATCGACAACGACTGTACCGCTATATATTCTTCCCCGACCGCATGCACACAAGAGCCTTTTGTGCGATCCTCGCAATTCTCATGTTTCAATATTGACGCCGCCGCACTTCCGGCGATCAACGGGCGGCAAAATCTCGAGTCTCTATCGTCGTGATCGGCGGCTATTGCGGAAGCGATTATCGCGCAATCGAATCGTGTACGCCTCTCGACTTTCTCCTTTTGTTTCTTTTACATTTCGCCCAGCACGTTCTCCTTCCTCGTATCAGTCGGGTATAAAATCAACACGATTTCTAGGTCGAAATCGCTAAGTAGCGCGATCTTTATTTCATTATTCTGTAGATTTATATATCGATTATAAGCAATCGTTCTTCACACTCAGAACAGTTGACGTTTATGTAAAACGGTGAAATTAGCTTATGCGAAACAATAGTCGGATATTGTGAAATTCAACAGCAATTAACGCTTCTGTACCGACAGTTGTCGTCAAAAGATGCAAAGACAAAGACTCGCGCGGTGTATATGATGGATATTTGCATTAAATCCAATCTCGCGTTATCTCTGATGCGTTGTAAAAATTCGAGGAGGAATGGAATTTTTTACATTGCAAAACAAGCGAATATTTATGCGCGGGAATTGCCTAAAGGAATCTTCTTCGACAAATTTTTTAATATTAATAGAATTACACAATCCAGAGCAATATTTCTAAAGCAATGTAAAATTCATTGTTCGCGCGAGATTTTAAGAGACATTTGACTGATACCTCTCTTACAAAACAAATTAAATTTCGTAAATATAAACGCACAAGAGCGACTTCTTTCTATATCGGAATTAATAAACATATCCTATAAAAGTAGCACAAAAAGTAAAGTGTCGGGGGGATGAAAATAACATTACGCGGAATTTAAATAACACCCTATTAATTCAAATATGCCCAACATTTCTCTGTATAATATTCCATACTTTACGCCACTTCCCATGACAAGTACGTAGTTGGACGATGTCGGAGAAAAAATGCGGGAAAATATCGCAGAAAAAAGGAGAAAAGGGATGGAATTTATTCTCCTCTTCCGAGGAGATTTCCATGGAGAAGAGGAGCGTAATTAAGAAGGATCGGCCATGCGTGCAATTTGTGCAATTAGCAGACGCAGGCGCAAGCGCAAGTGTGATGAAGACGGCGCAACGAAATCGATCAAGCTCGTGCGAGGAAGGCGCGAGACGCATCCGGTTCAATTAGCCCTCGCAATTTGCTCTTTTCAAGCAACCGCCCATTCGTCTTGGCCGGGCAGTCGTATCGGCAACTTCAAATATAATATCGAATTTTGCGCAACACCCACCCTCGGAGCGATTCATAATTCTTGTTCGCACCGTTCCCGTCCTATTCGTTTCTTATATTGCAACGTACTTGGTCATTTTTTAGCGAAACACGCTGTACGGAAGTTTTTTACTTATTTTATTATATTTTCTTCGGAGAGGAGATTCTCTTCTCCCGTTTCGAAATTATTCTTAAATATTGAGGAAAGAAATTTGCATGATTTTTCACTCGCATTTACATATATCTTTATTTATGTTTGAGATTGATAAAAGTATAGTTTGATAAATCGTGCTAAAATCGACATATTCTATGAATTTATCCCCGCGTCTCATTGAAATGCATAATGTTTTAAAGATGATCCTGTCGAAAAGAAAAAGGTTTGATTTTTCAAAAATTTATGCAACTCTCCGTCGATTCTATCAATCTTTACGTGGAAATGATGGGAGAATTTAAATATCTCGTCTCTCGTGATTGAGTTAAACGCGCGCGTAAAAAGGTAGCTATTACAGTCGATTCGGCAACCGGTTTAAAACACATTTAGGAACTTCTTGCCATGGACGGCGCATAATTCAGTATGACCGCGTTCCCGCCATCCCGTCGACGATGTTGCGCTCTCGTAACGATTAATAAAACTCGGGGCTGTCGCAAACGCGAACAGCGGAATAAAAGCAGACGGAAAATATGAATAATGAATGAAAAAGGGGGGAAACACGTGCCGGCCGAAAGCGCGTGCGCGAGCGCGAGCGCGAGGGACGGGCGACATCCATGGCGGAAGAAGGGTGGAAGAATTAAAAAAAAAAAAAAAGTTCCCGGCTACCCCAGTAATACAGTGGCTCGACTACGCGTAAGAACATGCCTCTTGTCATCATCATCGTCGTTGACCGGATAATCAAGTCCCTGTCTTTCTGGCCCGCTCCCTCCTTATTTCCCGGACAAAAAGAGCGACCTCCGGCCGGAGGTAGACGTTTAGTGGACCTTTCCTCCCGTTCGTGGATGGTCGCTTCTCCATTCTTTCTCCCGACCGAGGAAAATCGGATGGTTCCGGAAAAAAGTGCGGTCATGGAACGAGAGATACGGAGGAAGAGAGATAAGGAGAGACAAGGGGAGAGAGAGAGAGAGAGAGAAAGAGAGGAGAGTCGACGCTCACCGATCTGCCTTCATTTATCAGGTTAAACGCGAGGTACACCACATAATGTCGTCGACGAGGTTCTCCAAGCGGATGTACGCCCTCGCTTCTTCTCTCATTCATGCTGTCACGCGTACACGCACGCACATACTAATCCGCTCTATATCTCGTGCGAGCATTGAATTAACGCGTGGTTGATCGCATCAGTCGATCGACCGATTAATTTGATGTTTCATACGACGGAAATTATATCGCAGATAGTATCCAGAAAGAGAGAGAACTGACGTGTATTACGCTTGTTCAAGATGCGAAACTGCAAGGGAAGATAAAGCTGTGTAGTGAGGTCTTTTTTTTTTAATCTCTTGCAACAGCAGAACTAAACAAAAAGTGTCACAGAGTGTCTCGTTTTGACTAATAGTACATTTTTTTTATCTGAAACAACTTTATTTTATCGCCCAAGTTTTAACATATCTATAGAAATTATTAAAATAAATTATTCATAACATTAAAAAATCTACCATCGAAAGCGTACGACAAAAGTCACTATAATAGCTCTCAGAATGGAAAGAATTAAGGACTCTTATCAGAGTTTTTTCCTCGCGAAAGAATCTTGATTGATATACAATGTGATTATGAGACATTGTAATAATTCAAGATTGCACTTCCATTGCAGGACGTCATATTCTTCGATACATTTTCAATCATGAAGAGAGTAATACGCCACATCTGTGTTCAAAAGACATTCGCAGGACATCCTGAGGATCGCCCAAAGACGTCTTCTGGATACCTTCTGGACGTCTTTTGGATATGCATGTTACGTGAGACTGTCGGGAGAGGAAAGGAGGCGGGAAAGGAAGAGGAAAGGCGAGGAAGGGAAGGAGAAGGACTCGAAAGTGAAGGGCGCTGCGCAATATTCGAGGAGTCGCGTGCAACGCGCGCCTATCGTCGTTCCTTGGTATTTCCATCCACTTTTATTCTTTACTATAATAGCATCCGACATGGAGAATGCCGGATTCGTGACCGGCAAACGAGACTCTCTATGTACCTCGCGCTCGGTCAGACGGACGTGCTCGTTTTTCCCTCCCCGTTTCGCTTTTCCCGCAGCGCAGCTCTCTCTCTCTCCGCGTACGTGCAGCTGGCTTTAATTAAAAATGAGCGGCATTTTTTCTCATATTACGTCAACGAGCTTATCCCGTACCCGGGCTAAACGTTATTGTTTCTCATTTCTGACTGTTATTTCGCCCGTCTTCACGGATTATTGAGCCGCGCAATTTCTGGTAATCGAACGACGTGAACGAAATAATTGTAAACGGCATCGGAAAATGCGAGCAGCTGTACGCGATTTTTTCATTTTAATATTGTTTTAATTACGAGAATTTTTTTTACGCAATTATTGAGTAATAGAAGAATTAGAAATATATTCTCTTTATTTTTTTTTTTGGGCGCAAGCAGAGGATAAAGCGCGAATTAGTGTCTTGCAGTCTACATTGCGAGCATAATAATAAAACACACTCTCGTCGAATGAATACGATAAGCACAAAGGAACCGAATCGCTGACTTAATTTGCCGCTCGAGTCGGTTTACGTTACATTTATGTTAAATACTCGTGGAGCATCTCGACCGACAACTGTCTCTCCGAAAAGCGCCCATTAAGCGCGCAAAACTAAACGTCGGTAAAACTTCTGGTTCCGGTTACAAGATCGCTTACCGCCGCGAGAGAATGGCGTTGCAAAGCCGAAAGCTCATTCGTTCTCTCAGGAACATTGTCCGAGAACGATGGCCGAAGCCGAGGAAACCTGAAGAGACATCGTCCATCCAGAAAGACGTGGGAAGGAGAGAAGATACAGCCCTCTTTCTTTATCATATCACAAGCTTTCGAGTCAATTAGGAAAGGTAGCTGCCCCTCCATCGCGATCAGAATAATTCAATGCAATAGCATTTTCCTTTCACGGGAGAAAAAATATCAAAGGACACGCGCGCGCGTTTCGGCTCGGAAAAATGTATGCGTTAGCTTTTCCAACAGATCCAGAGATAAAAGCTGATATATTCGCTACCGCCGAGTTCTCCTGCGGCGCGAAATATCCGCAGGTGGACCCCGCGAGTTATTTTTCTCCTCCTCTTTATTTTTTTTAATTCGTTTTTTTTTAAACGTTTCGCTTTTACCCGCTCTTGCGCGGCCGGATGAATCTCTGTCCGCTTAGAAGTTTATAGGGTTTGTAAGGTAAAACTTTATACGGTTTTTATAGCAGCGCCAGGACGAAACGGGAATGCTAAAGCGGATCCGCGGGCACGTACACGAGAGAGCGTGCATGTCCTACCTATCCTACCTGCCTATCTATCGGTCAAAATGCAATTTCGCGCGCCGAAAAAGTCGCAAGCAGCCCCGGTGAATTTTTACACAGCCGGTCGCGCACGGTCGACGTGCTCGTGCGCTTGGTTTTAATTTACAAGCTAAATAGTTGAATCAAAAAGCGGATTGAATCGCGCGCGGGGTGCATTAGTATTCAGCGACAAGCGCGCGCTGTGGATTCCGCGCTGCTGCGAGGCCTGCATTAATATCGAGAGAGGGTGTTGAGCGCCGAAGCGGACTCGGAGTGCACGCGAGGACGGACGAACGAGAGGAAAGAGAGCGCGAGGACGCTGCGGAAAAAAAGGGAAATCGAGTAATCGTGTAACAGCTAACATGGAGAGGCGCGATAGACGCGCTCGGAGAACGGGCGGTTGCCGTTTTTCATTCGGATAGCGGGGGATACGCAAATAAAAGAAGCGCGCGCGTGCCGCGATTTCGTTATTTCGCCTCCCCGCCCTCCCTCAGCATCGGCGGTGCATGCTCGACTATGCACAAAGACGAAGGAGACTCTCCCAGTCACGAGTCGATAGCCTGGTTATGGGTTTCCCGAAACTGATTGTCGAGTAAAAACTAGTGAAACAGGATAAAATAGACGAGACGCCATCGTGATAGATCTTATTGCTCCTATATTAATGAGATTATTTGTATTTTATTATTTTGGTATCTTTTCGATTTTTTTCTTTTGATTCAAGAATAGCAACATTAAAATTACAGAATTGATTAATACGAGGGAAAAAGTCGGATAATGTCAGACAATATGTCTTTTTCGTCCAATAATTCGCAAATGCAAATACTTTATTTCTATACTGTTTTATCTCTTTATTTTTTATCAAACTCCCGATTCAGCGTAATATGTATATAGCGTACATTCGTTTACGATTAGCACCGATTTGATTTTGCCGATATCCTGATAGCTAAAGATATCAAAAGTAATATTTGACGCGTAACGATTGTTGTACCGAATATCACAATACATCATTTAATCATATCCATCAGAGTACTCTTGTTTCCGGTCATTGTCGTCACAATAGAATCGATTGACTGACCTCTTTTCATTCGGTTGAGCTTTGTCAATTTTTCACGTACGCAAGTTTCCAATAACTATGCTCGGACGTGCATATTTTTTGATTCGAAAATCTGACCGGTGAAATAAAAAAGGAAGAGAAATAAACAGAAAAACGAAAAAAAAAGGGCGCGATAAGCCACTTTCGTTTGGCGCGGTGCGAATTAGTATGCAACGCGATACGCGCACACGGGAGGTTCTATACGTGACAATTTATAAAAAGTCAGTGCATTGTGTGGGCGAGATGTGACATATGACAACGGCGACGACGACGATTCGTGTCGCTTCGAAAGTGCGTGAAAAATTAAGGATATGTTTTCTTCATGTTTCTTTTGAAATCCGTATCCTCCTCCCCCGTTAGCGATCTCGAAAACGAAAACACTTTCTTAAGATCATTTCGTTAAGCGATCTCGAAAACGAGAACACTTTCTTAAGATCATTTCGTTAAGATTGAATTTTAATTATTAATCACGATCAAATATAGAGGCATTTATCTTTTACATAATCGATTTTACGCGCAATATAAGATCGTTAAATCTTATAGTTGATGAGAATAACCAAAAATGATTCCACATGAAAAAAATAAATTTTAAAATAAAATTTTTTTTATAAAGAAATTCGTTTCGAGAAAAATTGGCTTTAAAATTTGGAGAATTAATAACAGATTTACGCTTTTTTAAACTTAAAAACTCTAATAACTTTGCATCATATATATTTGAATCCGTTTCGACAGTAATTATTAATAAAATAAAATATACTTTATTTATTTAAAAAATGTCAAATAATTTATGTTATTAAAAAAAGTGCATAAAAACATTCATATAAATTTTATTTTTTTATAGAAGAGTGTATATTTTTATACATATTTTAATGCCTTTTTAATAGCTTTAGATATATTTAGTATCTTTTTGCAATTTAATATCTAAAAAAATTAAAATACATATGTAAAATTTTCGAGAGATAAATTCGATGATATACAAGATCATCAAAATCAAAGATTATTATTTAAATTTAAAAAAGGCATAATATTAATTCTGCAAAGTGTCTATTTGCTTGAAATAATTTTTTACGAATATTATTCTATATATCTTTTTTTTTTTCATGTAGAATCATTACCTTCTCAATTGTATCATTATTTATGAGATCAAAAAAGAATCACATGTCGATCATAAAGTTTGAAATCTCTCGATTTCACTGAAAATATCCGACTTTGATCGAATGAAACACGCACGAAGAGAACGCGGATATTCTGCGTAGCAAAACTTGCCGCGTATTCCTAATGGACGGTTCGTAATAACAGAATTGATGGCGAATAATCGAACGATTATCGTTTAATGATATTCAGTTCTCTACAATATTCGCGTAATAATTATGCGCACGTGAAGCAGTGAAAACCGAACGCAACGCAGTCCCTCAGCCTAATTTCGATAATTGAATCGACGATGTCGAGCATTGATATACAGACAATCTACACTTCAGCGCATTATATCTCGTATGAATGGAATTTGTTGGAGTACAAGCGAGGGCACGATTTCGATAACTTTGGCGACACGATTTAATAAATATTTTTAGCTGTTTGATTAGCTGTAAAACACAATATGAAAAATAATCCTAGAGTGCGATTTAGCTTTTCCAATCAAAAATAAATGATAGACTGAAGGGAGAGAATTCTCCCAAATTCCCAAAAAGTTTATAAAAAAATCTAATTTAATCTTTATTCAATAATTCTTCCAATTACATATAATATAAATAAAATAAAAATAATATTATAAATTTAGTTAATTTTGACTTTGACTTCTTACAATATTGTCTCATTTTTATTAATAATTTAAAGAGAAACAGTCGCAGGAACGACTTTTTCGTAATGTTTAACTTTCAGAAAACATTCTCATATTGTTTTACCAAAGTTATAAAAATTTCTCTGAGTGAGATAAATATTAAACGTGGCATTATATCAGGTGTAGGCGCGAGACAGATCATCTTCGTCGGGATCGCTCTCATTGGCAAACGTCTACGATCGATTGACGATACAAACTACTTCTCTCGTATGTAAATATGTACTTAAAAAGAAGGCTCAGTTAAAAGAAGGTTTAGTTGTTTAGTTGATCTCGACAATACACGATCATCACGACATTATCGTTATCACGATTCATTTTATACGATACGCCTGTACATGTTTGCCTGCGCGTGTGTGTACGACCTTGACTAACTGCACCGTGACGGTGAACGCGATGTTAGAATCAAGGTAAGTAGCGTCGAAATTTAGCGTGTCGCATTTAGACGTCATAAACGAGCTCGATCGAAAACGTCGCAAATAAATAACGTAAAACACCCGCCGGTAGTTGATTAAATCGAGCGATAATACTTCAACGTATTGCTGCCGACACACTCCATCGTGTCGCGGCAATACATGCAACTTATTATCATTGTAATTACTGCCTAGTTCAGTGTGAAGAAGAATTCCTCGTTCTCCAAGTCGACGACTGAGCGTACGCCCCGAATTTATATTATTACGTGTGCGTGAAAGACATCCTTCGTATAAACAGCGGATCTAGAAAACCTATCGAGGACGCTGAGATCGTCAAGATAAAAGAAAAAAAAAAGATTTTCAGACCTTTATTGTAATTATCGTTTACACATTTTGTACTTTATGATCTTTGTCAGGTGTGTGGAATTATGAAAATGTGAGAAAAAAATGAATCTTGGAGAGAGAGAGAGAGAGAGAAAGAGAGAGAGAGAGAGAGAGAGAGACTCTGGATCTGGCAGTGTAAATGACAGTGTGCCTGCGCTAATTACGTTCGTAAATCTCACGCGAGACCGCCGCGAAGATGGCCACGCGCCAAATCGGATAGTTTTAACGTAATCTTAAAATATTCCGTGTCCCTCCCTCCCCTCCCCCCTCCGCGGGGGTGCAGCGTACATACGTCATGTACGAGCAGTGATGACTTTTCCGATATTCGATTTGCTGCGAACACTTCTCATTAACCTTTCACCGTCGAACGTGAATGTGTGAGAGTGAATTGTCCTTTCTTTTAACGATCGTGAGCGTTGTCGCGCGATAATTACGACGACTTCCGCTTTCCGCTTTTTTTTTCTCTCTTTCTGTCTTCTTCCTACATCCCCCCGTGCGTGTCTGTCCGCGGAAATCCCGCATATCCCGCGGACGAATCCGCATATCCCGCCCCGGGATACGTCCAAGGATCCCCCCCTACGAACGCGTGCAACGCATCTGCAATACTCGAGGATTCGCTTCCTCCAAGCGACCACTTCCGATACAATCGTTACCGTTTCGAATATCGAGTCGACAAACTTTTCTGTTGACATCCGTGTCTGCGTGAAATGTCTTCGAGGCATCCCCGCGATCGAAGAGCGAAAGTTGTATATCAGCCGCATACTAGCCGAAATCGATGCAATCCGAGTTACGACGAGGAGAGATTTCAAATTCCTCACAGATTTTTCAAAGATATTAAATATAGTATTAAGCTGCTAAATTAAGTAACTTAAAACATTAATTAAACGGTTAATTTCTCTGGCACAATAAAATTTGTAATACTTTTCGTCGTAACTCAAGGATCACCTCTGACGTTTAGAGTCGAGACTCTCTTGACTTCCGCGTTTCGATTCCGCGAATACAAACAAAAGATGTATGTGGATCGCCTTATGGAGGAAGGAATCAATCGGCAATCCTTGTCGGTGAAATTAACAGTGAAAGGTACCGTAAATATCGCGCGAGAGACTGATTCCTTCCTGAATAATGCACGCCACATCCTCGCGTAACAATATTCCGATATGCTAACGTTGAAGATATCAACAATCACGTGCGACTAGAATAATTCATTCGACTTCATACTCACACGCATACATATACATATACACCCCCACACGTATACACATACACATACATATACACATGCATTGTAAATATGTCAATATCAGAGACAAGATCTTCCGGCCAGGATGCCGCGTCCAAGCGTGATCGATTCGGTCCGACCGAGAGAAGCTTCGTCTGTACTTATCGATCTCTCTCGCGAAAAGGAGACAGAATCTTCAAGTTATAGCTGTGAATATGTAAGTAAGCGGAAAAACGTGGTGTACGTGAAAGCGCGGTTTGTCTCGCATCGGGGGAAACCGATCGGAAGTGTCGGAGTGGCGAGGAAACTTTAAGGCTCTCTCTTTCCCAAATCGGCTTTCGGTGGTAAAAGACAGAGGCGAGAGGGAGACGGAAGGAGAAGAGAAAATCACAGAAGCTCGTAGTGGAGAAGAGAAAGTATGAAAAGGGGGATAAAGGGAAGTCGAATCAAAGCGAGCCCACTCGCTGATGTGAGGAGAGGCGCGCACGAATGGAACTATTCGTGCGAAAGTTTGAAAATATAAAAAAAGAGAACTTTCGCAGATTCGACGTTCGCAATCTCAACCGCACGGAGATTCCCTCC